ACGTCCGCGAAGAACCGCTGCAGCCGGGTGCACACACGGACCTATCTGACGCGCATACCCGGCATGTTATTGCCCAATTATTATTCAATGGTACGCGGACGGCTGGCCGATGCAGCGGGTGCACTACTACCGCGGGCTTTGCGAAATCGGCCGACCGAGCGACGTAAAATTCCGCACGCGTTAAGCAAGTATAAGGCCGGTGAGAGCAAGAGCGAGCGAATAAGCAAGCGAGCAAGCGAGCGAGTAAGCAAGTAAGCCAGCAAGTAAACCAGCAAGCAAGCAAACGCATATGAGCCGCTCGGATCTCTCTCCGGGACCCTTCTCCGCTTACTTGCGCCGTTGTTAGTTACGCACGCCGACTTTTCGCGCGCGTCTGGAATAAACGAGATCTCAATCGCGCATACGGAATAACGACGCGAGCTCGTAAGCACAGCAACTGGACGAGCTGCGACGAGTAGCGTGGTACGTATGTATGTACGGTACGTAGGTGGGCGGGTAGGTGCGTGCGTGCGTGCGTGCGTGCGTGCGTGCGTTTTCGCATTTATTATGCGGGAGGGGAGTTACCTGATAGAGAGAAATAAAGCGCTCACTCTCCATCGGTGACGCACTCTATTCTCGATTCACGCTCTAGAAAATCGAGGGTCGAATTTTCCGGCGATTTTCGAAGCTCGCGAAGCTCTCCTCTCTCGCCGCGCGTGAAAATAAAAAGAAAGCGCTCGTTTGGGATCCCGGCGGCGCCGGGTTTGCCTACTTACGCCTACTTTACATGAAACGTACGGTCGATTCACGTCGCGGACATTCTCCGAGCGGGTGGCGAGTCCCGGTTGCGAAAAAAAAAATGAAGAAAAAGGAAAGAGACAGAGACGCGAAGAGGAGAGACCGAAGAAGAGAGAGAGAGAGAGAGAGAGAGAGAGAGAGAGAAAGAGAGAGAGAGAGACAGAGAGGTAGAAGAGAGACACGGAGAGAAGTTCGAGAGGACTCGCTCGAATCATGCCGGATTCAGGAATGCGCGCGATTGCGGTCGCGTTTCGATCTCGGCTCGCAGCGACGAGTCGATCGCGAGTCAGGCTTTAATGGAATCGTCGGGATCCGCAGACGAAAGTCGCGATGCTTGATCGCGAAGATCGACGATGCTTGAAGGAAGCTCGGGAAATATTCATTTCGCTCGTACGGCCGGTGGTAATTTATCGGTATGAAAATGCATTCAAATAATACTTGGCTTCGCGATTACACATCACGGGGTACGTGTGTACGCATGTGTGCGCCCACTGTGCGTGTGTTGTATGCATGTATGTGTGTGTGTGTGTGTGTGTGTGCATGTGTGTGTGCGTGTGTATGTGCGGAATACGTCGATGACTCTTGATAAATCAGAGCCACCGGCGATTGCCCGGCGGACCTATTAATACGTTTAACTAGATCGTGAATTACACCAGCGTGCCTAGTCCCTTTTGCATATCGAGCGTGCGATTACGAACACGTCCGGCGACTTCGTTATCGTAATTTCGCGGGTTTTCCCACGTGATTATCGATATATTTATACGACACATTTATCACGGCGCGCACGACACCGCTATTCCGTATTAATAGCCGCGTGGAAGCCCGGCTAGAAGCCCGGCTGGAAGCCCGGCTGGAAGCCCGGCTGGAAGCCCGGCTGGAACCTCGGCTGGAAGCTCGGCCCGTAGATCGCCGTGCGGAAATTGATTCCACGCGGTAAAGACAAGATCGCGGACGCGAGAACAAGGCAGGACTGACCCGACTGACTGATACACGACGCACATACGGACGAACGGACGATGAGTTACGTAACGTTGGCTCATTTTCCCCGACGCGGCGAAAAAGTTCGCCGCTCAAAGGTAATATTTTGCTCGTTGGACGTGGGCGCGCGCATGTGGGTACTTTGATATAACACGTGCGCGCGGAGGGCTCTCTCTCTCTCTCTCTCTCTCTCTCTCTCTCTCTCTCTCTCTCTCTCTCTCTCTCTCTCTCTCTGGTGCTGTTTAAATATTTATGAATTACACCACGAATCGCCTTATAGATTTCTATTTTTGCATGACCAGGAGCCCGAACCAGGAAGCACGAATGTAACCTCTCTCTCTCTCTTTCTCTCTCTCTTTCTTTCTCTTGTTTCCCTCTTTCCCTCCGCGGTCGGTACTCCTGCTATTCACTCGGGCCGCGAGGGAGATTTATGCATCCAGCCGACATTCACGCAGGTGCGGTACTCTTGCACGAGTACTCGCGCACGTAGCGCGGAGGTGTAGGCGCTCGTCCGCGCGCTAATAGAAATCTAATAACCATACCGAAACCGTTTACCGGGATTTCCGCGCTGTGTAGCGGCCAAGTCGCTGATAAAGACGACGAATTAAAACAGAGTGGCGATGCCGATATAGGTGTACGTGTGCCGTGCTGGAGTTTGCGGCTATCCCTATTACCGTCGGAGTTCGCATTAGAATATATCGTAACGGGTCGTCGTCGTCGTTCTCGTCCTGATCCTCGTCTTCGTCGTCGTTTAGTAGTTTTCGAGCCGGTCGATTAGGAGTAGGCGTCAGACTCCTCGCTCGCGATTGAGACGGTTGCCTGGTCGGTTGGTTGACTCGCCAGGCTGCGTGTGTCGCGTAGTCGTGGTCGTCGAGAGATACGCGCGCGCCGCTCGTATCCTTTTATTCGGATTATCTCGCGCCGCGCGAATATCGTGGGCGGAAGAGTCGAACACGCGTTACGGCTGACGTTAGGGAGGGCCGACGCAGCCGACGAACGGAGAATCCGAGGAGCCGCACAAACGTGGGCTAATCCGCGCGAAATTGTCGCGCGAGGAATCGTTGGCGCGCACGATCCTCCAAATATGACGTCGTCATCGTCGACGAGGCAACGTGTCTCCGTCGTCCCGTCTACCCGGGCGGTGGCCCGATCGCGATTGGAAAAGCCGGGCTCTCTCTCTCTCTCTCTCCCTCTCTCTCTCTCTCTCTCTCTCTCTCTCTCTCTCTCTCTCTCTCTCTCTCTCTCTCTCTCTCTCTCGTTGGAACTTCCGGTTTTAGTTGTGGAACATGACTTTCCAATAAGCTCGATGGCGCGCGACGGACGGCTGTTGCCGGCATCTGCGGGCAACCCCCGGTATACCCATACACCTTCGAAACGTCGGCTCGTGGAGGCGATGCCGGCCTGCCAGGTACGAGAGTCAGGCTCGTGACGCATCATGCGGCCTTATCTACACGCAATATCTGAGAACGTCCATCCGCGTGCGCGCCATCCGACAAGGGCGAGCCTTCCGACGGGACGAATCTGTCGTAGGGTCGATCCCGAAGACGATTAGAAGCGGAGTTAGCGCGACCGGAAATGCGCTAACGCGCTCGCCGCTCAATCGGCCGGTGACGCGATCGATGGGCTCTCGGCTAACGTTCGAACGCGGCGGCGGCGGCGGAGTCCGAGTAGAGACACGTAAAGGCGGCTGCGATAAACGGTAAAGTACAAGGAGGCAATATAAGTTTCAGCTACGAATACGTGTGAGGGCGTGTCTCTGTGTCTCTACGTCGACGTTGAGACGTTTCTTCGTCTTTCGTCTCTTTTGCTTTTTGTCATATTCAACATGTAGATTGACACCGATACCGAGATAGAGATACCCAGCGAGCTAAACGCGAGCGGTCGCGTGATGGCCGCGTCATCTTGGCCGTTATGGGCGTTATCCATTTAATCTCTGGGAAAGCCGGCTTCTATTATGTCAGTGCAACCGGCTATTACTCCCCATTACAGGGGGCCGACCTGTCATTAGTTCCCCCCTCATCAACGTCGCACCCTCGATTCGTTCAGTTACGATGATGGCGTTTCAGACGCCATCGCAGCAGCCATTCGTTCGCGTGCCTCTGCGAAGCGCGCGATTTTCCACTCCCACGACGCGTTTTATTGCAGCGGCGCTGTTTACGCGCGTTACGCGCATACGCGGATTTGATAAGTGTGGCTAATCGCGGAGGCCGACCCTCCCGCTCCAATAATCGCGCCAAACGCGCACCTGTGCGCCTCACCGTTGCAGCGTACTCGCGGTATGCGCGAGTAATGCCTGCCGTTATCGCGATAGTCCGGATTTGTTATATGTGGGTTAATTACAGCGAGACTTGATTGAATGCGCGACACGTAAACGCGCGCGACTTCGACTTCGTGGACTTGCATTTCTACCTCGTGCTGCGTCGCACGTCGCGCGTATCTCGCTTCCGAAATTTGTCAGTCACGCTCTATCGCGATCCGATCGGGTCGGTCGGGAAATTAATGCGAGTCGATTAATACGGCTGTAATATTCACGCTCCTTCCTTCCCTCCTCTCTCTCTCTCTCTCTCTCTCTCTCTCTCTCTCTCTCTCTCTTTCTCTCCCTCTCTCTCTCTTTCTCTCCCTCTCTCTCTCTCTCTCTCTCGTTACCCCCCTCCATTAATTATGCGAACGTCACCTTCGAGCGCGCGCGCGCGCGCTTCGTTCTTAATTACGACGTGCGGAAATCGTAGCGGCCTTGGGGAGCGGTTCCCGAAATGCAAATGAAAAATACGCTTAATGAGCGCGCGGACGAAAATGAGCATCGCTGCCGAAATCGGGAATAGGTGTAATTATAATATAAAATTCGCCGCACCTTGTCGTCCCCCATCGCGATTCCCTGTCCACCTCCGCCGGCAACACGTAGCCGTTGGCCGCGAGGACGCAGGCGTCCTCAACCATCGTTTCGCCGGAGATAACGCCGGGGAAGTCGCCGGTGGACTGTTCCGCTCATAATTACACCGCGCAATTAGCATTTGTTATATATATATATATATATATATATATTTACATAGAATTCATATTACGCTAAATTATACGCTCTAAAGCGAGAGTCTCGGCGACCCGCGTATCGCGCATCGCGCATCGCGATTGCGGAGCACGGACTTGCGGAACTTTCCGCAGCGATTTCGGAAAATAAAAGTCTGCGAGTCTCAGACTCCCCGACTTCCCGAGATGAGATTCTCGCTGATCCTAATGGAGCCGTTTCTCTTTGCTCGCAGCACTCGGCGACCTGGCGCTTGAGAACCGCTGTTGACTCATTGGCAGGTCGTGTCTCTATACCTTCGACCGGCTCGATCAGCACGACAGGCTCTCCGGAGAACCCTCCGCTTCTCTCGACTCGGCCGGTCTCAGGCCGCGGCACGACTTCACGGTATGTACAATCTACATTAGCTGAAAGCGCCGAAAACGTTGGCGACGACCGCGCTGCCATATCTTTCCGCCCGCTGCCGTTGCCGCGAATCTTGTTCGCCGGCTTGATGAAATATTATTGCGCCCCGTGTTATATTGGTCGCATGCCTGTTGTGACCGTGGCCGGTTGAAAAAAACAGGACGAAGCGAGGTCCCGCCGGTGGCACGCACGTAAACACGCTCACGCGCATCACACACGCGTCCACGCACACGCGCGTGTGCTTACGCACGTACACACACACACATACACACACACACGCACACGCCCGCACGTCGGTAACACACATGGGAACGAGGGCAGGAGCGAGAGGGTCCCCGATCCTCGTAAAAATTCACTTAGCTCCGCTGAATTATCTGGCCGACATCTCATTCGTTAAGTTCCATTTGCACCGAGGGACACGCGGTGCCTTCCGTTCCGCGCTCGCGCGTCCTACAAGTACGATGCACTTTTAACGCACAGTTGCATGTGGAGTACACGTGGTGTGCGTTCGACACGTTCGTACGGTGATTTATCATCTCGCTCCTCGGCGATACGCTTCGTTATACGACGTCATGCGTTCTTAAGGGTCTTACGGATGCGGGGATGTTGGATTAGAGAGAGAGAGAGAGAGAGAGAGAGAGGCCTTATCAGTATTTTTCATTGCCTTCCGTTACCATTTCCTTTACCTCGACTCACGCGAACGCGGCTGTCTCGAGATAATGACCGCGGACCCCGAGGGGCGCAATGTCACGCGCATAGGGCACATCGCGAAGGGGGGCGGCTTTTCGCAGGCGGACACGCGCGATAACGCGCTCTTGGGCGAGAGAGACAGAGAGAGAGAGAGAGAGACAGAGAAGCGACGCGCTAGCGCGAACGCGGCGAAACGAGGCGCGCGACAAGTCGCAATTCACTATATTATTCTCTTAATCCCCGTAGTATCTTAATTATTGAATTTATTAAAGCCGCGATGTGTAATCCCCCGGCGCGCGGGGCTAGTCGGAATTATAATCCTGAGAAACTCGCGCGGTAATGTGGTCACGCCCGAGAGCAGCGGGTCCGGCGCTCTCTGCCGCTCGCCCGCTCGCCCGCTCGCGAGAGAAGTTAATTAGAAAACAAACAGAAAATTAACACGAACCCGGCAGCGCGCGAATCCCTCCGGCCGGCCGTTACTCGCGATTTATCGTAACCCGTCGGGGATCTGGTCGACGGTGACCGGTTTGCGTATATCGCGGGATCGGTGGTCCGACTTGATCGACGATCGAAAATCGCCGATCGCGGATTCGTTTCTCCCGTACGATGCATAGGCAGCAAAGGTTCAGGGTCGCGTAGTTGCCCGCGGCTCTCGGCAGCCCGAGGATGACGCCAAAGAGCCTCCCGCGTGGAGCGGAACCCGCGAGAGTCCTTCTCAGGGTGAGATCGTCGCGCGACGACGCCGATGCGGAAAAGGAATTTTTCCGCGTCAATCGGACGCGCTCGCGGGAGATTTCGGCTCTTGAGATCCGAGCCTCACCGATTCGCGCACCGATCCGACCCTGGAAAGTCCGCTCCTCTTCCGCGACGAGGGACAAACCAGTTTCGTCGTCGTCGTCGTCGTCGTCGTCGTCGTCGTCATCGTCGTCGTCGTCGTCGTCGTCGTCATCGACGACGACGATGAAGGGAGGTGGAGGGCGGGGGAGGAGGGAGGGAAAGAGCAGGCGGCGGCGGCGGCGGAACGATCGCGGAAAAGCACACGCGGAGAACTCATGAAATATCGCTCGATCGCGCGAACGTTTAACCCGTTAACGCGCGTCGGATGTTAATCGATCATACTTTCTTGGGATTTCTTTTCTTTTCTCGTCTGGAGCAACTCGCGCGTTCTGCTGCGAGACACAGCATGCGTGCGCGCGAGCGCGCGTACGCCGGGTGTGCAGTTACGTTACAGGTTTTCGAAAAGTCGGCGGCACTTACGGTCGCCGACCGGACTGCGAAAATCTTCGCCGACCGTTAATCTTGATTTATGATAAGAACTCGAGCGCGATCTGGTCCGTGGTCGATCGCGCTATAATTGGATTGTACGCACAGGATGCGAGACCGGCGCTACCGGCGCTAGCCACCGCCACCGCCGCCGCCGCCGCCGCCGATTTCGTCCTTTTTCGTTGAATATGTCGAGAAAGGGAGAGAGGGAAGGGGGAATGTCTGCGAACGCGGAATTGCAATCGCGAGCGCGCGGTCCGCGAAAGCGCGGCTTTACAGATTTACGACATTGCCGTGCGCGAGCACGGCGATCCTCGCACGCGGTCGCGGCGATTTTTCCGCCGAGACGGCTGACCCGAATTTCCACGGCGAGATTATTCGTGTACATTGTGACTGTGCGAATCAGAGTTACGTGATACGTCGATAATTGAATCGGTAATTGGCGAACGCAATAATTAACATATCGTATAATCCGTTCGGTCACTTCTCTATTAGTCACTTTGACTGACGTAAGTGATTTGTGCGAGGTTACGCTGAGGAACCGCGCAAGCATTCTAATCTACTTGTTATATAAACGCTATTAGCATATCTCGCAACGTTATCGCACATCTGACACCGCCCCATAATTATCAAGAAACACACTGCGATCTGGAGCTATGCGGAAACCGTTTTTCAGCGATTTCCTCTTTTCTTCGGGACGAGGATTTATCTAGCCGGGATCTGCCGTGAATACGCGAAATTAAATCCGCCCACTACTCTTCCTCTCTCTCTCTCTCTCTCTCTCTCTCTTTCTCCGTCTGTCTCTCTTCTCTCCCTGCCGTTCCGTATCGTGAGATATTTAACGCCACGGTTCGTTATCGTCATTAATAGATTATACACTTCGTTCGGGAGCAGAACGAGTAAATCTTAATTAGGTGTCAGTCGCGCTGCCGCGCGACAAACAGAGAAAATTAAGTGAGCTGAGCCCGTTAGCCGGTCGCTGCATAATGCATGCATATGCGCGCGTTTCGAGAGAAGAGAAAGAGAGAAGGATGGGGTGAGGCAGTGAGAGAGAGAGAGAGAGAGAGAGAGAGAGAGGAGGAGAGGAAGGGAGGAAGGGAGCGAAGACCGGTCGAGCGAACCGATCACCTACGAATCGATCGTTTGTGCGTCGCTGTTGAGAGAAAAAAAGAGTAATCCTGCGACACTTTTTGGCAAGGTTCTTCTTGACAAGTGCCCGACGATATTAAGGCGACGATATATATGCACGTACATTCGCATCCTGCTACATTGCATCCACCGGATGTTTACCGAATAATCGGATTGCTAAGCGCGCACACGAGCGCACGTGGAACCGGTCCCGAGATGTACATCGGGAAAATAATCGTCCGGCTTAATTGGAACGATCGATTTGTGCGAGCGACCGACGAGCGTTCTCTGGCAGATTTTCGCGCCGTATGAGTGCAGCTGGAAAATACCGACGATCCTCGATGATCTTGACACTCCTCTTCCACGTTAATCCTGCAAATTCCATCGGACTCGAAGGACCAACGGAAATCCCCCCTTTTTGATGCCACAAATTCTCGTTGTTTCTTCCGCGTTCAAAAGAAGGGCCTGATAAGAGTCTTCAGAGTGGCTCCAGAATGAGCATTTTTTTTTTTTTAGAGAACGAATGTGTCGAAATATTCCAGAGAATGAATATTTGGAAACGATTCTCGCTATAAAGATGTAATTATTTTTGCACAATGTTCTGCGTGCGATGGCGGCATCGAGCGGCATATCCGCGACTTACACAGACGCTGTGGGTGTAATCGCGAGCTACCAACGTTACCCGACGCACTAGCTAGTGTGTTAGTAGTCTGTCCGGCACGACCTACTCGATCCGCGCCGTTTACGGCCGCTTGCCGGCCGCGGCGAGCCCGCGAAAATGTTGAACGACATTAAGCGGACGCGAAAATAATCGCGTCTTCTGTTCTAAGTAACGGCGGAGATTTTGCCGTTTTTCGCGCGGCTACTCGTTACTCGCGGTATTTACTTTGCCGGACGTATTTATAAGGCGCGGGGCCGCGATAAGCGCGGCGCTTCTTTCTTCCCTCTGTGGCCCTGTTGCTCGTTTTTCCGTTGCAACGGCGGATCTAAACCGGTCAAGCACGGCGGATCGGCAGCGGCCGCGGCATAAATCGCGGATATGGCGAGTAAGAAGATCCGCGGACGGCGCGCGACGATACTTTTCCCTTTATCATCCAATTAACGATAAGGCTCCATTACGTTTATTCGCCCCGGCGGACAATTATTATTGCGTCTCGGCGACCGGGGGGACGTTACGATTATTGTGCCCGGTAGATATGGCTGCGATTTTATCGGGGGCCCCCGTACGATATCCGCGCGGCTAATCTGCGAAGTAGTTAAACCGTCCGATGCGCGACTTTGATAAGCTCTCGCCTCGCTCTCGCTCACCTCCTCGCTCGATCCTCTCTTTAGCTTCCCCGTCTCTACTCTCTCTCTCTCTCTCTCTCTCTCTCTCTCTCTCTCTCTCTCTCTCTCTCTCTCTCTCTCTCTCTCTCTCTCTCTCTCTCTCCCCCTCTCTCTCTCTCCCTCTCCCTTCCTCTCCTTTTTTTCCCTTTCGCCTTTTTTATCATTACGCGATAACTTCATCCGCGTTGCCGTTTCTAAGGATGTAACAGTGTAAGGAGCATAAGCGAGCGCTCCAAGTATCTATTTCGACACACAATTTCGATCTCTCGCCAATTTTTATAATTTTTATAATTATTGCGCGTAAAATGCATCTCCCTCCCCCCTCTCTCTCTCTCTCTCTTGCTGTGCGATTGCCCGGCACAGACGTTTTGCATCGGGCAACGATCGTTTCCGGATAAATAACGGCACTCGCGGCTCAATCATCGCCATGAAAAGCAGCTGGTGATATTATATTTCTGCATTTCTTTTTCCCCCTCGCGAGATCTCGTCTTTTCTTTCGCTCGCAAACACGCGCATACTAATAGTCAATAAGCGGTATCGCTTACTCGTCCCGGAAAAAAGCAATTTTCTCATAA